ACCGCGGGCTGGCCGCGGGGGGTGCGGGGCAGCGGAGAGAACAGGGCCCACTCCTTATCCTCTGGGGAAGGCCTGGCCGAGGTGGGAAGTGGACGCCGGCCTCAGAATCAGGCCGGCGGGGGTCCAAACTCTGCCCCCATGTTGGGGCCCGCGGGAGTAGCACCCCTTCCCCAGCCCTGCATGCTGGCTGGAGCGGGCAGCCTCTTTGCCCCTTCCGCTGTTGCACCCCAGAAAGAGAGCCAGTTTGTGTGTGGGGGGGTGTCAAATTCTGGGTCAAAAATGGACAGAGGGTAAGAGGGACCACCTGGGCCTTTAAGGGGCGTCCATACAGAGGGGCAGTGATGTGTAGAGCAGGGATAGGAAGAAATCGTGGATCTCTGGAGTCCCCCTTTCCCCAGCACTCCTCCAGGGTCCCCCAGGAAGTCAGGGCCCCCACAAGGTCACCAAGCTACCCCCCCCCAGACTTGTGGGACAGAGTGAGGGAGCAGCTCATTTCCAAAGACGTTTTCTCCCCGTGGAATCTGGACAGTTTCCCTGGGGAACGGCAACAAGAAAAGGGCTCTGCAAACAGATTCCCGTGCAGATAAGTTGGCATTTAAAAGAAAAAGGGACACTGACCTCCTTTGAAGGGAGGTTTGAGGAGCTGGCCCCACCCATCCTCTGATGGGGAGGCTACTGGGGCCCTGGAGGAGGCTGGGTGCCCCTGCCTGGGGCGCACCCTTCCCTGGGCCCCACCCAACTGATAACCTTCTGCTCCTCTCCCCTGCAGATGACGGGAGCCTGGCAGAGGAGAAGGGATTGCGCTGTCAGAACCCTGACTGCATGGACAAGGGGAGGGCAGCCAAGGTAGGGAGCTGGAGGGCCTGAGGGCTGCTGGGACCTGGGGGGACAGGGGCCTAACCGCCCTCTCTATCGAAGCACGGATGTCCACAGACCCTGGCAAGAGTGCGGCTGGCTCAGCCACAGTGCCATCTGGGTTCAGGGGTGGGTAGGGCCACTGGGTGGCTGGTTTCAGAGGCAGAGGGTCTGGGAGCAGCAAAGTCGGGGGACCTCTGCAAAGGCAGGGGGAGCAGGGATGTCCCAAAGCCTGCAGTCCTTGCAGCAGCCCTGAGGTAACAGGAGCCGTGGCCCCATGTCACAGATGAGGAAGCCGAGACTCCGCAAGGGGAAGGGCTCCTCACAAGGTTCTGTTCCAGGACCGGCCGGCACCCTTCCTGTGACACCAGGCCACTCTTCAGGCCTGAGCATAGGTCAGGGACACTTTGGGTCTTTGGCACAGTGACTGTGGCCCTGGGGCTGACAAAGGGCAGAAGGGACAAATGTCCTGGAGTGCCAGGGCTCGGGAGCTGGGAATGAGGCAGAACGAGAGGGATGATGATCAGTAGCAACACGGCGCTTCTGCCTGTGACGTGCCAGGCTTTGTGCCACGCGCCTTCTGTGCCTTATGCGCTGCTTGTGGGAGCTTTGCTGGGAAGGCATCATCACCCTGTTTTCCTGATGAAGATACCAAGGTTCAGAGAGGTCCTGTGACTTGGCTGAGGCCCCACAGCTTAAGAGAGACTGACTGAGGCAGGGTTTGAATCCTTGTTCAGCTCCTCCCAGCACACTTTTGAGTGACAATGGTAATAACTGCCACAACCTACTGTGTCAGGCTCAGGCTCTGAGGACTCAATGTCTCTTCTGGCCTTTTGAGATCTGTCCTGTCATTATGCCCATTTACAGATGGGGAAACTGAGGCTCAGAGAGGTAGTGGCTCACCCAGGGACATAATCGCTAGGATATGGTGAAAATGGGATTTGAACTCAGAGCCTAGATCTGTGTAATGCCAGAGCCTGTGTTCCTAACACTGTAGTTCAGCTCTGCCAGCTGCCGATTAAAAATGCCTCCCACCCACCCCCAGTCCCCCCTACCATCCTCCTCCGCCCAGATACATGCGCACACATTCTGCACAGGAATACCACGGTTAGAAGGAACAGTTAGAAGGAACATGGAGGACTGTTCTGGGGGTGGAGAGAGGAGGGGGAGGCTTCCAGTTGCCGTGGTCACCGGGCAAGGCGGTGGCTGTGATTCAGGCACAATCTGCTGGCACGGATGGTGCCTGGCATTGGGGCTCTGGTGTTGGCTGGTTGTCTCACCCCCAGATGGGGGCTCCTGCTAACAAACTGACCTCATTACCCCTGCTATACAACCTGCCAGGGGCCTACAAATCTTTGGGGCATCTGCCTGACCCTCAGGGGTGGCAAATGGGGGCCAGGCCACACTGTCCCAACCTCTCCTGTGGGCAGGTAGCTGCTCCTGGGGCAGGCCTGCAAGCTGCTGCAGGCAGGGGCAGGGGTGGGAGGGCCTGGACTGTGCAGAGGTGAGACCTGTGGGATGAGCACTGGTTTCAGAGCAAGCGTGGGTCCTCTGCAGCACCCAGGTCCTGGCTCCAGCCCTGGCCTGTCTGGATGACATTGGCATCAGCAGCCAGAGAGTTGCTCAGCCTGCAGGGGAAGAGCCCAAACCCTGTCACTGGCAGGACCCACTTTGGGAATGGTACAGACTTCAGGGACAGGGATAACTGAGTAATCAGAGGGAGGACAGCTGGTCAGGGAGGACATCCTGGAGGAGGTGGCCTCTGGTGGACGTGAAAACATGGACAGGCAGAGCAGAAGGTAAGGGTGGTCCAGGAAGGGGGAACTGCCACAGGCAGGAGTGCAGAGGCAGGAAAGAAGGGGTGGTAGGCAGGTCTGGCCAAGGGGATGAGCTGGCTGGAGGAGAGGGTGAGAGGAGGTGAATGACACCCTGGTTTGGTGAGAAAGAGGAGCAAAGAACATCCTTATTGTTGATGATAACCACCACGGACCGAGCACATGCATGTGCCTAGTGGGGTGCTAGGCCCTCACTGAACCCTCTTGAGAACCTCAGGAGAAAAGCATGATTATTCCCACATGACATATAAGGAAACTGAGGCTCAGAGAGGTGAAAGAACGTGCCCACCACACACAGCATGGCTGGCCAAGCTTGGCCTGGAGTGAGACCAAGAGCTTTGTTCTTTTTGTCCTCTCCAGCCGTTCTAGGAACGGCTAGCACGATACGTTAGCTTTTTGAAGGAGAAGCTGTCATTCATTCATTCACCAAATCAACTTTAAGCATCTTTCATGGCAGGCCCAGTTCTAGACCCTGGTGATGTCCAGGAAACAAGGCTCCTGCCTTCCTGGAGCTGACAACCTTGCCCGGCGGGGGGAGGAGGGAACTGAGGAGTTGGCTTTGCCAAACTGGCCCCCAGGCCTCTCGGGGCCATTTGTCAACAGGCTGGACCTTTCCACTCCTGGGCCCACCCTTAAGGTTTTGTGTGAACCTCTCCTGGGTACTGAGGACTTCTGAGATGAATCAGCCACCCCACCCCTACCTCGTGCCCCTGGAGTTCAATCTAGGGGTGGGGGGGTGGTAACCAGGACAGGCTTCCTGGAGGAGGTCACTGACATCCTGCGGAATGAAGTATTGAGGAGGAAAGTGAGCAGGGGGGGCCTGGGGGATGGGGAGAGGGAGGCAGAGCTGGATGGGGAGCACCCTGTCAGGTGAGGACTCTGGGCTCTCTGCCTCAGAGACCCCAAGATGAAGGTGTGTAGAGTAGCCCACACCTGTGAGATCCAAGGTCAAAGCCCAACCCTTTCCAGCTGCATGACCCTGGGCAAGTCACTCCACCTCTCTGAGCCTCAGTTTCCTCATCTGGATGAGATTAAAAGAGGGCTTGTTAAGCTTTTACTAATCAATAAATGCTTTATTTAAAAAAAAAAAGAGGGCTTGTATGTGAATGCTTGGCACCGATTGTGGCACGCTGTCGATGTTCAAGAGTATGCTAGCTGTGATCACGTGTTCATCCACCATGGAGGGGCAGAAAAAAACTCAGGCTTTGGGCGCACCCTCCTCCCCTCCCTGAGATCTGAGACCAACCGCCCAGGGTTCCATCCCAGACCCCAGCCAAACCCGCCCGGGAGACACATGTTTATGGTACATCTGTCCTGTTCCCAGGGCAGATGGAGCTCTTGGAGTCTGTGGGGAGGTGGGGAAGTGTTTGCCCCTCCCTCATGGAGGAGGGTCAGTAATGAAATGGTGAGTGTCCCTGCCCTCCTGCAAGGGAACCACCGACAGACTGTGTCTGGGCCCCCTTGAGCTGGGCGCTCTAGTTCGTCTGTTCAAGGCCCTCTTGGTCACAAGGGGACATGGACTCTGAGGCCTGACACTGGCTTAAGGGATACTGTGCTACCACATTTGAGGGGACAGAAGACTCAGGGGTGTTTATCCTGGAGATGGGCCTCTCAGGGCACCAGCCTCAAAGATAATGGTTCTAGCAGTCATTTACTCAGCACCTACTGTGTGCCAGGTTCTGGTTTAGTGCTTCACCACAGGGACCTCACCTAGTCCTCACACCCCTGCTTTGCAGTAGGGACACCCCCCCCCCCAATCTCCATTTTAGAGACAGGACACTGAGAAGCCGGGAAGTGCAATAACTTGCCGAGGCAGGTCAAACCAGGTCTGTCTGTCCTTAGGGGCTCCCATATCTAAGGAGCCGTCAAGAGGAAAGGGAGGTGAGTTTTTCTGCATGGCTCCCAAGGGCCCTGGCAGGCAGGTGAGTCTGGGTTCAGTATGGGCAAGAGTTTGCAACAGCTGAAGCTGCTTCCTGATGCATAGGTAGTGAGCACCCCTTGCCTAGGAGTATTCAAGCAGAGAGAGTGGAGGTTGGATTTGCTGACCTCAGAGTTTCCTTTCAGTTTAACAATGGCTGTGGGGTGGCCGGGATGAGGGTGTGTGTGTGTGTGTGTGTGTGTATGTGTGTGTGTCTAGGGGAGGAGTGGTCAGATGAAGACCAGTGGACACAGGGCAGAGGAAGGGGTGGATCTGAGATCCCTGTGGAGGAAGAATGGACAGGATGTGATGAATAATGGGAGAGGGAGTCACCTATTCTCCTGGGCAATGCTCTGAGGATAAGGGGTGGGAGGCCAGGGTTCCCTAGAGAATGGCCAGATTCTGGGGATCTCAGGAGGTAACTGGGCTTTTTAGAAGCTGGGCAGCTGTAGACAGGTGGCAGTCCAGGCTGCAGTTGGAGAAAGGGGCAGGACGAGAGAAGCAATGCAAGTGGAACTCTTGGGCTTTGGCTAAGTAATTAGGGGAGGGAGCAAGAGGTGAAAGCCTGGGGCACCTGGCCCAAGAGGCAGAGACAGCACCCAGCACACGTGACCTGGCCAGGATGAGCTGCCCTGGTGTGGACCCAGCTCCAAGGAGGGCAGCACATGCTAGGAGGGGCTCCTGTGGCCTGGACCCGGGCCTGGTGAGGGACCTGAGGCAGGTCGTCTATCACTGGGAAAATACAGGTGGGCCTGAACCGAGGTCCCCTGGGTCTCTGGCCCGACATCTGCCCTAGGGTCGCGGAGGTCACCACACCCACCTCCAGGGAAGACTTCTGGCGGTGTGCTTGGGGCGATGTTGCCTGCCTCCACACTGGGACCCCTGTGTCCCCATACGCCCCCCGCACCCCCCCCCCCACAGCTCCTAGCTCTAAACTCCCACTGCTGGGAGAGGGAAGCTGGGAGCCACCAAAGAGCGGAATGGCCCCCTTTTTCAGCCATGCCAAGCATGAGCCAGGAAAAAATGGGGGACACAGAGGCAGGCGCGCCGGTTTCTCAGGCGTCGTGGAGGCGCAGTTCAGAATCCAGCCATTTATAATGGAGCGGAAGCGAACCTGGCTTGGGGCGATTCCTAGGGCGGGCTCGGCCTGTGGGACCCCCGGTGCCCCTCTTGCCGGCCAAGGAAGCGTCCTGCCTCGCCAGGGGGCCTGTCATGCTCCTGTCTTTAAGCCCAGGTTA